GTTTTCTTCGATCTATTTTATGTTGCTCTGGAAAATAGTAAAAAGTTTTGTTTAAATTAATAATTTTTATTCGCTTTTAGGTATATTTTGGCAAGCAGGCCGGAACTTCCCCACAGATCATCTCTGAAATGTAATGTTTTAAGTGTTTGACTTTTGCAGCAGTATATGAATGAAGAAGAAACGGACCTGTACAGAAACAGCAGCCTGTTTATAGTTATCGATGTTGAGTATCGATTGAAAGATTTTTCACTAGATAGTAGAAGAATGCATTGTTTATCGGCTTCTCTAAGAAAGCTGTTCGTTACAACAAGTTGATAAGTAAGAGTAAAGTCGATTACAATCGATCCAGCTTACTTGATATTGAAGGCTATTAACTGGTGCCAGGCCTAACTCTGAATATTGCATTCAATAAAAAAATATCCATTCTATTGAGTCTCAAGTATATCTCAGTAAAATGACAATGCACCTTACAGTGGTTAGTAAAATAGTTCGTACATTTCGTTTTACTGTTAGTCGATTTGAATTTGTGTTAATTAACAATTGCTTATTGTCCCAACGATAGTAAACAACTAAAAACAAGGCCGACTATCGGATACCCTAATGCGTCAAAAGGTACCCATTATTAATATATTTCATGAAGCCTCGCATATTGAATGAATCTTCACATGCGGCGGTATCCAAAAGATAGACCTAGGTTGTCCAAATTTGCTAAGGTTGATTTCTATGTCAATTTACTATTATGAACTAATTTTCACAATGGAATATTAAAAATTATACCTTTTTATTAAATAAAGATTCAGCTTTCGTAGGACAGGTTCAATCGGTGTAACAAAAGCTTGGTAGGTCACAAGTAGTGTAGGGTAAAAAAAATTTAACTATGTATTGATTTGACTTTTGTACGCTTTTTAATTAAAAAATAAATTAAAATCGAAAATGTAATTTAACCGAATACAGAATTAACAGAACTTAGTAAATTCCGACGTAAAAATGAATTTCAAATTATGGTGAATACGTAAAACTTTATGTTAATGGCATTCCTTTCCGATCGTTGGTTTTAATAAAACGATTATTCACCAAGAAAGGTTGTAGAAACGTGGTAATTCATAAAAAGAACGCACCTACAATAAATTTACAGAATTTTCTCGAAAATGGCTTCAACACTTTCATTCTTCCGTGTTAGCGCTCGTAAGGCAGCTGCGACCAAAAAGCACTATAGATAAAAAATCTGAATTATTTCGTGGTGTAAATAGTTATGAAATGAATTTTTTTTGTCTTACCATATGTGTTGCTAGTACGACTTCGAGATGTATAGTTGCCACATGTTAAGCTATACACGAACACAACTTCCGACATTTGCGTTCTTTACATGCATTCTTTAAATAAATTTCATAGTTGCACGCTTCATATGTACAAGGTCAGGAAATGATAAGCTCAAAATGTGCACACGAAAATTGGATGGAAAGATTTCATATACGATCGAGTCGTTAGTTTTAATTTCTTGTTAGGGGCTCTGTTCAAAAATGCAGGCAGTTCTAATCCTTTGCCAAAAATGGTGAGATAAAGCACTAAAAGATCAACTTTGCATTATTTCGCGATTCCGCAAAATGGTGGTTCCTAGCATATAAAGTGCAAAGAAAATTAAATGTCCGTTTTGTCATTTTTATACTGGCACATAGGTGCCTAAATTAGTAGGCAAAGTTTCACTTATATGGTCCCTTCAAAATTTGCTTCAACTCAAATAAAACTTGCTTCATTTGTTTATTTCTATTTAGAGTCATTGTCACTGGAAATCTGGCTTTTGAGTCTTCTTACATTAACATTCAAGCGAACTTCTCTTGATTAACACCGCATTTAACTAAATCCCTGCCATAATAATGATATACACCAAATGGATGCGGTACGTCATTATTCCATATTATCTAGCTAAAGGAAATAGAGAAAGGAATCACATTTCCGGTCGGTGGTCAAAGGATGTCTAGAGATAGCAGAAAAAAAAAGTGTTTTATGTTTTGAAAACTATTTTCTACGTTAAATTTAAATTCAAAACGTGCAAAATTCATAACAAAACATTGCAACAACAGCAGAAAAACAAAAAAAATGTGTGCATTTTCTAATACTAAAACTCTCTTTACGAACTATTCATAATAACAAGTTGTAAAATATGATGCCGCGGCAGTCCATTACTCCATTACAGTTGCACGCACACTTTTACACTTATTCATTTATAAACTTTTGGGTGTCAGGAGCCAACTAATAATATCAAAATACAACAATACCAACAACAAAGATATGAAAGTAAGAAAAATTACTGCTTTTGGCGATTTTACAGCAATGGTTGGCATCAACTCGGGTAAAACTACTCAACAGGCGGAAATAATTAAAAAAAAATTTTCATAGAAACACAAATACATTTCTACGCATATATATATGTATATAAATTTTATTTTTGTTACTTAAAAAAAGTATTGAGTTATGCATTGAATTATTTTATGATGGTAAAGCAAAAAAAAAAAAGAGCTTTCTTCGCATATTTTAAAAAATTCAAGTAAATATTAAATTAAAATTCCATTTCAAATTGAAGCATTCGAAGCTATTTTCTCTGAATCCACATTACAGCATGAATGTTAATTTTTCATTATCCTTTATGGCTAATACAAAAGGATATTAGAATGATTTTAATCTGATTTAAGAACATAGATGATCTGCTAGCAGTAGCTGGCGTAGCAGTTGCCAATAAACAACTGTAGTAGTACGTGGTCTTGAAAATAGAGCCTCCGCATTTTTAAAAAATCCTGTGATAAAAATTTAAAGCAGGAAATAAAAACTTCTCGATGATGGAAGAATGGCACAGAATAAAAACCTTTTTTTTATGTGCTTGTATTTTTTTTGCAATCCACTCAATAAAAATAAATATAAATGTTATGTTAAGATATTGTAAATAAGAGACGTTATTTTTTCTAGTAGGAAGATGTAACAGTAAAGATGTATGCAATGTCAAAATAAATAAACAAGTACTACAGTCAACCCTCCTGTAAACCTCTTATAACCCTCCTTTAATTCGTACCGTGCTGTAAGAAATTTAGATTTAACGTACAAACCAGGTTAATTCGCACCGCTTTACATGACAACGGCGTCGTGTCAAACTCGGAAGAAAGTAAAATCACTTGTTAATTAGTTTGACTCATTCTTCGTCTTAAAACATTACACAAAAGATTTTACAAATACAAAAGCAGGATAATATTAAGTACACCACACTACACTATATTTATTGAATCGAAAATCCTTACAAGGAAATGATGGAAAAAAAGTAAAACTAAACTAAATTCAAAAACAGTTTTGCAGTGAACCAAAAAATTTGTGTAAACATAATTTCCCGCCTTACCTTACATAATTGAACGCTTTTAACACTCAACCTCGCTTTCAAATAAGGTTGGTCTAATTCTTCTTCTTCTATTCGGCCTCAATTCACAAATCTCCCCTCCCCTTAACTCTCAATCGTGTTTTTTTTTCTAAGTGTACTAAAATCTTCTTAAGTTTCTTCTAAACTTCTCGGTGCGCACCATTGAACGGTTATTTTGAACAAAATGAAGTTCTAATTCTTTATCAGATGTGGTCCTTTTTTCACATTGTGTAAATTAAGATTTGGCACCCATTCATTGTCGATGTTTTCGTCTATTACTTCATTTGAGATAGATGCATCAATTAATTCCACCAATTGTTCCTCACCTAAGGTTTCTTCCTTAAATAGTTCTTCTACATCTCGATGGTTTATTTCACTACTTCTATAATTGGCAGCGAAATGCCGTTTGTTGCTTGAACCATTTGAGGCCGGAGAGAGTGAGACAACATGTATTAAGAGTTGATGGTTTAATTTCCGTCCAATCTGATGACACGGCTCTAATACAATGTAAAATAGAGAATTGCTTCTACGTTTAAATAAGAGTTTGAAAGTTCTGATGACTCCTTGGCCCAAAGGTTGTATTAGTTAGGAGGCAGGATAAACGATTTTGCATTTGAATGAACTAGTTCCGTGCTATGGCAATTAGTGTTATCAAGAACTAATAAAACTTTAAAATCCAAATTTTTTATCGTAAAGCTTTCCACAGTCGGTATAAAATAATTCTTCTTAAACCAATTAAGCTGATGAAATATCGTTGAACGGAAACCGCGTTATAAGAGCGTCGCATTATCGTGAGGTTGACTGTATGTACAAATTGAGAAAATTCTTTTAATAACGTTAACGAAAAGGAATAATTTCTAAATGGTTTGAACCAGTGTGTGATGAACTTTCAATCATCTTATTTCGTTATATTCTTATAGAACAGAAATATTGCCAAGAGATTTGTGTTTCCTAAGCTTAGGTATTTTAAAGTGAAGCATTGAATTTGATCTTTAGTGTGTTTTCCTCCAAGCTCATCATGGATGATTTTGTAAGCGAACCGTGTGGCGTTATGTTAGCAAAAGGACTCTCGTTCAATTGCTTAGTTATTGCTAGTTATGTTCAGCTTTATATTGTGTTTCTATCTATGTCCTTCATCAATATGTAAGCCATTACTCGTCAACTAACATAGGCTTCGGATCTTCAAGAACGCTTACTCGACCGAGATTAACGCAGTGCAGTATTTTGATTGCGTGAAACTTCAACGATAAGCCTTCAAAATGATATTATGGATGTAACTCGCAGAATGGATTATTCTCTCTCTCTTCGTTGATAAAAACGACATAGCAGATAGGCAATTGGGAAACAAATACTGTAAAACGTGTAAATTAAGCAATAAAGCGTGCGAAGACGCGTTGAGAGATAGAAGGAATGATAGTAACTATTTTGATCTATTTCAGGAAGGACAATTAAATACTGTATCTGAATGCATCCTCAACACATTAAGTGATAGCGATGCATAGGGAAATGATAAAGAGGGGGTGCAAGAAAATCTTCAATACCGAGGAAATCAAGAAGTAAGTGGAAAAGGAGCAGGGACCATTTACAAGCGAAGAAGCAAAAGGCAAAGTAAAACTGAGGTATAGAGAAATAAGTTCAAATGTCATACAAAAAATCCCAATTAGAAAAAAATTAAATTAGGTCGTCGATTAGTACATAAAGGAATAATTGGCCAGGAAAGCATATATCATCAATATCTAGAGTGACACAAAGTTTTTTTTTTTATTAAGCCCAGGTGAAATATCAACTGAAGTCATGCAAATTTTTGTTAAATTTCTGCCGTCAATACAACTATCATGGCAAAAAACAGCGGCTGCGAAAGAAACAGAAGACTTTTGACTTACATCTTGAAATGCTATAAAAGAAAAACGAGTGACATCAGCAATGGCTGCCGCAAGGGCTCGAATTGCAATTGCAGTATTAGTGTGCACATACAAGCACGTGGTGGCGACTGTAAGATTTTTAGTAATTATTAGCAGGTGTCAACTAATTACTTAAATTAATTAATTAATTAATTAACTGTTTATTTCAAAATATTTTAGAGTCGCCTTTTCATATCCAAAAAGAATGTCAGCATAAAAAACAAGATAATTGGAAGGTTAACTTAATTTTTATATTTTTTATTATTATTTTTATTATTATTCGGCGCCGGAGAAAAATGTGGCCACTTTGTTATCTCATTATATAGACGATCTCCAGGGCATTCCGTAGGGCGAACTTGTCTATGTCCAAGGAGTTCATACTGCCGATGTATATAACCTCGTGATAAGCCGAAGGCTATTAAATCTCTGGTGGCTTGTAACATTGTGTCTGTTGGCAATTCAGCTACAAAACAAAAAAAAGAATGATTATAATCTTTGCTCTTACGTAAGTCACAGCATTGTTTTGTGTTAAACGCGTAAAATGTAGTTTCTAGGTTGACACATTAAATTTGAGAATGGCAATATGATGGATACGCGTGACTGAAAGGGTCACGATAAATTTGAAAAAGCATGAATATATTTTGAAAAATAGCCTACAATTTTTAGTTAATATAATACCCTATGTTACGGATAGTATATCTGTTAATTAGA